AAAAAATAATAATAATAATAATAATAATAATAATAATAATTTTTTATATAAAAACATAATGGGAGTATATTAAAAAAAAAATTGCATAATTCTATCAAAAAAAAAAATCAACAAGTCATTTGACAACGATCTCGATTTTTTTTTTTTTTCTTTCTTTCGTTTGTTTGCGACAAAACAACCGGTTTGTTGTGAACAAACAACAACAACAACAACAAATTTCTCCCCTTTTTTTTATTATTATTATCGATAATAATAATATATATTATATATGTAGGAAAAAAAAAAAAAAAAAAACGTTAAAAGTTGTTTTCCTTTCTTCATATTTTTTCTCTTACTTTCTTTTTTTTTACGAAATTGACAACAAAATGGCGGCAATTTTTTTTTTTTTTTTTGACTCTCGTTATTATCTATTATTATTATTATTATTATTATTATTATTATTATTAATAATTCATTTATGTAAAATTTTGTATAAAAAAAAAAATTAATTAATTGTTTAATATGAATAAATCGATCGATCTATCGATGATTAATCGATGACGTCATTTATCATTCTTTAAATGATTTTTTGTGTTTTTTTTAAAATTGTAATTATTTTTCTACTGCTACTGCTACTACTACTACTACTACTACTACTAACACTACTACCACTACCACCACCACCACCACCACCACCACTACTACTACTACTACCCACCATGATTCCGTAAAGACTTTTTTTGACACGTTTTTATCTTCCAGTTTCAATATAATGAACCCGCATTACCTTGACCCATAATAAAACTTTAACACAGACGACGGAGACAAATTTGTACATAAAATTCGACGTATAATAATATTAATAATAATAATAATAATAAATACATATAATAATAACAACAACGGGGGTAAATAATGAATTTTGGTACTGTAATAATAACACTTCCGTTTTTTTTTTTTTTTTCGTTTCCGTTTCCGTTTCCGTTAACTCTTTCTTTTCTAATTCACATTCGATTAATAACGATTATATTGCACTCAAAAAAAAAAAAAAAAACGGAAACATCGAGAGAGTGAGAGAGTGAGAGAGAAAACACTGAAGGAAAAATCATCATTAAAAATTAACATCGATGACGCGGTATTCTTTCAAACACGACATAACTATGTAAAACACCCATAAAATAATTAATAAACCACCGGATAATAATTTAAAAAATACCGAACCCCCCAATTCGGCCTTACCGCAAAATGACGAATTTCTTCTTCCTATTAATAATGCTATGGCGATGACGGCGGAAATCGTAAACAGGAGTACGCTGAAACCTAAAGTTCCCGCAGGTACTTTGAATACCGTACCCTAAAAATAAATGATCACATTAAAAAGAGAGAAAAAAAAATAAAAATCTTATAATAATAATAATATTTATTTCTAATTACGTTATGAGTGTGATAAATGGTTGCCATTAGCCAAGGAAGACCGAGACCCAAAAAAACGTTTACGGAATTACTTCCGGTTATGTTTCCGATCGATGTATCCGCGTATTGTTCTTTTAATGCGGCCGTTCTGCTGGCAAAAGTATCCGGAAGTGACGTACCCATCGCAACCAAAGTGATCGCTATAAGAATTGATGAAAAAAAGATTTTTTAAATACTTAATTAAGTAAATTCCTTTTTTTTTTTTTTTTTTACGTAAATTACCGGTTATTGTATCTTTTAATCCCACGACGCATCCGAATAACGATGCTATATCTTCGATGACGGCCGTGACGAAACCGATGGCACACAAAGACACGATAAAACATAACCAACCGCGAAACATGCTCGGCGGCGGTATAAAAGAAAACAAAACTTTCCAATTGAACGATATGAAATGTAAAACGTAATCGGTTGCCGTTGCATTTTTCACGTCACCCCCGTTGACGTTCATCGCGTCTTTTATTTGCGATGCCCAAGTTTTGCGGTAAATCGAAAGCGTTTTCAATTTTAAATTTGTCATCGCCAACATTTTATCTATTATGTTGGCAAAATCTGAAAATGCATTAAATTTCATAATTAATTTTCGACGTTAATGTTTTTAACGATAGCAAAACATTCGGTCCGGGGCCTTGGCTACAATTGAGAGTGTCACTAAATTAGAAGATTCAAGTGTTTATAACTTTACATACAATGAATGAATGAATGAATGAATGAATGGAGGTGATTTTTTTTATTTTACGCACCCTCATCGTTCGTTATTGTCACGCAAATAACTTTTATGTCTCCTAAAGATGCATCATTGCTCGGAGAAAACAATTCGACAAAGAAATAACTATCTTTTTCGGGTCTTATTTCGTTGAGTAATGGTATTTCGATCGTTTGAAGTATTTCGCGATGTTTAAATATCAATTCTCCTTCGCCGCCTAGGAAATCTTTACCAGATATTGCGGTATCATTATTCGTTCGCCATTTAACCGATACTTCACCATCCGCTCCGTATTTCCTACGTACGTTTATAACAACGCATTCCGCGCTTTCTTTCACGAGGATTCCAGTTTTTTCAAAAGAAATAACTCCAGGTTCTAGAAAACAAAAACAAAAACACAAAAACATTACGCAATTACGAAAAACGTTTTTTTTTTTTTTTTTTTTTTTAAACAAAACAAACACCAACTATCATCATCCAAAATTGTAATTTCCATAATTGAAATCCTTCCGATTTGAACATTGGCATTTCCAGAATGTTCCGTTAATGATAATTTTAAAAAAAATTCTTCGTTCGGTTCCCATTGGGTATCATCTACTATTTTCACGAGTACTAATTTTTCCGTTTCTTCCGGTTCGAATACTAATATTTCGTCTACTTTTACATAATCATCTCCCGCTTTGGCAGAACCATCGACACTTTCAACTCTAAAATAATACAAATTTAAAACTTTGCTGTTGTTGTTGCTGCTGTCGTCGTGAAAGATTATCAATATTTTTACCTGACTTTAACGGATGGTTCGAGATTTCCGTGTCTGCATACGGTTATAAAAAAACTTCCGATATTTTCACGTACGGCACACGTGGCCGAGTGAAATTCAACAATGGCATTTTTCATTGATATTTCCGGGAGAAGACTCAAAGCGGATCCCAGGGGATATTGATTGATTGTATCGTAAACTTCTTGAAGTTTTAACGAAAGTCTCGGCCTTAGTTTTCTTCCACCCGTAAGATCACGAATGGCGCTCATGCGATAAGTGGCAGCAGACTGCGGTTCAGAATCGATGATTCTAAAATACAATTTCAATTAGTAAAATTTCCTTTTTTTTTTTTTTTTAAAAAAAATTTATAATAATAAAATTACGTGAAACTCACTTGGATGCAGCTAATATGGCGGCATCTTCGTTCGATATCCCCGGATATTTTTTCAATTCTTTGAAAAAAGAATAAAGAGTTTCTTTATCGATTTTTCCATCCTTGATAAATTTCCTTTCGACAAATATTTTTTTACCTGTGATTTCATTGAAATGAGAAATGAATTAGAGATGAATTAAATTCCCTTACTCCTCCCCCCCCCCAAAAAAAAAAAAAAAATGAATAAATCAATTAATAAATTGTTTAAATAATTTACCCACTCTCTTCCATTTTGATTTCGTGAGCTCGAGTCAGCCTTTTTTTTTTCGACATCAACAATCTTATATCCAGCCATTTTTTATCCGTTGCAAAAGCAAAGAATATAAGAGCGGGAAACATGAGAAAAGTCGCGATTGCTTCCCACAATTCGACGACGTGCGGAGAAAACAAACTCAAAATTATCCAAAGCCAAACGTAGGCCAGTATGCTGAATATCGAGCAAACGATGAAAACATTAAACAATCGAATTCTTCGTGATTCCCCATTGGGGACGCTTATTATGCAAATGGCGGTTATTAGTAGAAGATTGAATGCTGCTGATCCGACTATCGTTCCCGGTCCCAATTCTCCCGATTCGAAATTACGTTTAATTACTTCCATGCAAGCTAATAATATTTCTGGTGCTGATGTTCCCAGTGCCATTAATGTCAGATTAGCAACTGTATCGTTCCATACACGAACTTCAATGAAATCAAGTTGATGGGTTGATGTTGCTGTCACATTCAAAGCACTCTCACTTTCTTCTGGCTAAAAAGAAACAAAAACGATTTTTTTTTAACTATCATTATTATTACTACAATTTCTTTTACTTTGTGTGTGTGATTAAAATTAATGACAACCACATGTTATTGTATACACTTAATACAAACAAACAAACAAACAAACATTAACTCACCTTTTTTTTAAATTTTCCCAAATAAACTTTTTTTGTTTGACTTGTTATTGTGACAACAGCACCCATGAATATATCGGTGACAACAGAAACTCCAACAAAAGAATAAGCAAGTGCAAAAAAATATAAAATCCCTCTAATAATCGGATTCAAATGAATGTCGTTTAAAAAAGGAAAAAATAAACTCTCTGAACATTTATCTTCTTCTCCATTTTGTAATTCGTTTAAATCACCCGTTACGTTCATTTTATTCTCTGAAATTAAAGGCGAATAAAAAAAATCATTTATCCAATATTTATCATCACTATACCTTTCTTTCATTTTATCAATTATTATAATTTTCTTTATGAAAATTATTAGAAAAAAAAAAAAAAAAACTTAAATATTTAAACGTTTGTAAATCGTTGTTTGCTGATATATAATCGTTACTACTACTACTACTATGGTCAAGTTTTTACTTGTTAGAACAGGTATTTCATACCTGTTTGAACATCACAAAATACCTTTTCCCGTGAAATAATACCTTTTAAATAGTTTTTTATTAAATAAAAATTTGTTTTTGTAATAAGTATTAACAAAAAAAAAAACGTTTAAGTAATTTGAGTACTTTCAATAATCCTACAAAATTACACTCGATGACGATGATGACGTCATCATTTATTCGCGAACATCCGCGTTCGAAAATTTGAATTTGAATTTGAATTCGAACATAGTTCAAAAAAACCGTTACGAATGGAATTATAATTTACACATTTTTTATTAAACGCAAAATTAATAATAATAATAATAATAATAAATTATTTATTTTACGTTATAAATTAATTAATTTTAACTTTTCTTTTTTTCATTAATAATAATAATAATAATAATAATTAAAGTTAAATTTTTAAAATGTGTCTTAAATTATAATTTACACATACATTTTTTTATCAACGGCAAAAATTTAGTGTTAAATGAATAAAAAATACACAAACTTTTACAATTTTAAGTGGTAAATCTATAACAACATGAGCTGTTGTTAAATTTGCTGACATAAAAAATTAACGGGGGGTCAAAAAAAAAAAAAAAAAAACATTAAAAAGAAAAGCTAATTTTTTTTTTTTTGAACTCCATTTTTTTAAATAAGATAATTGCCTTGTTATTTTTATTACACTAATGTCATGAGAGAAAGAGAGAGAGAGAGAGAGAGAGAGAGAGAGAGAGAGAGAAATCCTTGTAAACATTAATAATAATTATTCTCAATTAAAATTTTTATTAAAATCAAATTCAAAAAAAAAAAAAAAAACTTAACATGGCGTGTGTGCATACTCCATATTTGTTTTTATTATTGAAAATAAATTTTTTTTTTTTTAACGTAAACACTCGAATAATATTTTCATAATAAATTTAAGGGAGCGGAGATGTGTGTGTGTGTATGTGCGTAACAAATTAATTTAATAAAAAAAAAATTAATGATTTCATATACGTACCTTTAATTATTATAATAAAATCAACATGTCTTTTTTTTTAATTTGAAACCGTCCGGTCAATTTCGATATATTCTTTACAAAGTCAAAAGACTGCACGACGGTCGAAATTAAACTGATTCATTCAACATGTAAAAAAAATAAATTGAAACGAGGATTTGTTAAATTAAATTCACCCATTATTAATTACATAAAAGCCGCGACATTTTTTTTCTATTAGAACCATTGTATTGTTTTATTTTCTACTATTTAAACTCGATATTTTTATAAACATGACAGTTTTTTTAAAAAATAATAATAATAATAAAACTGTAAACAAAAATAAATGATAATAATAATAAAAAACTTTTAATTATTCACATTTTAATTTTTCACAATAATTTTTCTCTCTACATGTAAACAATCGCGTTGTGTAAAAAAAACCGCGTTACGTAGGGAAAAAAAGGGCCCCGAAAAAAAAACCGTTGATCGCGTTCTTCGGTTGTCGTTCTTTCATTTTGTGATTCGTCGTTACACCGTAAATTTGTTTTTCTCTATTAACTTGTTTGATAAATCGAATTTAATAGTTAAAATATAATAATCGTTATTAAATTTGTTTAATTTACTCGTTAATAAGTACATTTTGTATAAATCACGACTTAAAAATGACAAAAAATGAAATATAATAACGAACCGTTAGGAGTCGCAAGAAGTGTAAAAATGCTAACAACGAAAATATTTATCTGAATGAATAAAAAAATGGCTAGAGTTTGCAAAAAAATTACGATAAGAGAACTTATTATTTCGTTTAAGTGATATTTAATTTCACATTTATCATAATTATATATATGATTTAAACCAAACCTAATGAAAACAACAATGGCGTTTTATACAAGGGGGTAAAAATGAGGTTTTTGATATGGCAAATACATATTTCACACGTTAATTATTTAAAATGAATGTTTTTCTTGTTATTTTTCAGATGAAATATTTGACAAAACGTTTCACGTTAGCGTTGAAGCTGAGGGTATATCATCAGAACACAAACCGATCAAATTATGGAAAGGAAACGAATTGCGTAACAGGTAAGGTAAACACAAAGATGGCTAATCATTATTAATAATAAAATTATCGATCGATCGATCGGTAATAAATAATACGTAATCGATTATTATTATTATTATCATCATCAGGACACGACACATACGTTGTAAACAATCAACGTGCGACGAATTTAGAATATTTCATTTGGGATTTTTGGATTATACTCACTACGTTTTAACAGTACATTTTTACGGTTTGGAATCATTTCACAAAAGATATCACATAAAAGAAATTAACATATATGCAAGTATTAACGGTTTCTCCCCCGCCTCCTCCTCCTCCCCCACCGCTCCCCCGAGGAGCGACGTGTCATTAATTTATTATTATTATTATTAATTTATTTTTTTTTAGTTTAAAACTTACAATCCGGCATTCACGCAATTAGAAATATGGTTTAGATTTATTTTTTTATTTACATCATTCATAACGACTGTAAGTTTATGTTTGTATTCACTCACGACAAGTTAAGATAAATAAATTAATAATAATAATAATAATTTGTATGTTTCAGTTTTGGTTTACTCACGTTTTAAGACGTTTTTCAATTCAAGACTGGTCAATTGAACAAAAATGGATGTCGATTCTCCTTCCGCTTCTTTTACTTTACAACAATCCATTTTTCCCATTATCATTTCTCGTCAACAGTAGTTTTCCCGGCATATTAGATGCCATTTTTCAAGAAACTTTTTTATCGGCCATACTTTTATTTTGGTTATGCGCTTATCACGGTTTGAGACAGGTAATTGACACATAAATAAACGAAAATAAAAAATCCGTTTCCTTTTTCACTTTTCTTTTTTCTTTTCTTTTCTAGAACGAAAGAAGATTTTTAACATTTTACGTGCCTAAATTATTATTAATACTTCCAATGTGGTTATCATCCCTAACATTTGCCGTTAATCAAAGATATTGGGAATGGGCGGATCCGACATACAGTTATCAAATTCACACTGATCAATTTTACGTAATATAGAAATAATAATAATAATTGAATCAATTACCAAACTTCACTCTCTCTCTCTCTTTCTCAATTTAATTCTATCTCTCTCTCTCTTTCAGGATTACAAAATCGTTTACGTCGTCATAGGAAGTCTCTACGGTGTTTATTTGGGTTGTTTAATGTTAAGAGTTTACAGCGAATTAAGATCGATGCCATATTTCGGTTCGGATAATTTATGTTTAACTTACGTAAAAGTTTTGTTGAAAAAATTATCATTATTATTATTTTTCTTTACAGACGTTAGGCTTAAATTGTTAACGACGATGTTAATAATAATAGTCGCATTTGTTTTCTCGTTGTTTTTATTAAAATTCGGAATCGGTGTCGTCGAAGATAATTTCGCATCCGAATTAACAACGAATTATAAAAGTTCGGCTGAATTTATGGCGCTCTACGGTATACTAAATTTTACCTTTTATGCCATGGCTTACGTTTACACACCGTCAACGTCTTTACCCTTTGGTAATAAAATATTCATTTTGTATAAACATGTCGTCGTCGCGTTCGCGCGCATGCGCACTCACACGCATTAATTTTCTTTACGATTCCAGAATCGCAAATAACTAAAGATAATCCCACGTTTTCCATGATAAACGATTCTGACGAAGATGTCATTTACGGTTCGGATGAGGATACCAGCAGCCGACAACCATTGAATCGTTCTTGTAACAACGACGACAGCGATTGAAAACGCAAAAAAAACTACAAAACTTAATTTATCATTATTATCATTAAAATAAAATTTTTATATGTATAAAAACTAAATAACATTAATAATAATAATCATTATTAACATCATTATTATCATTTTCGTCGTGGCATTAACGGAACGGACTTTTTCCAAAAAAAAAAAAATTCATTATAATTGAAAATCGTGTAAATAAATTTATTTATAATAATAATAATAATCATCATTATTATTATTATTATTATTATTTTTTTTTAAATACGACACATTTACAAAAATTGAAATAATAATAATAATGATGATGATTATGATGATGATAACGGTTAAGCGAAAAATAAAATAAAAAAAAATGTAAAAAAAAAAAATTAATAAAAAATTATTTATTACGAACGATAATTCTAAATTTTAGAATCGCCCGTTTTTTTTTTTTTTTTTTTAAAGGCACTTTTCACATATAATTATTATTATTATTATTATTATTATTATTATTATTATTATTATATCCGCGTATATAAAACTACGTTTCCGTTACTACCTCTCTTTTCCGGGGGTATACAATTAAAAATTATTCGTTTTCTTTTTAAAAAAAAAAAACTATTTCCTTCCCTTTTCTCGACTTCCCCCTCCGGGAAAAATAAAAAAAAATTAGGGAGGGGGGAGGGGGCAGACAGACAGAATGAACGAACAGTGGGGGGATATCCTATTCTAATCTTTTTTCTTTTTAAATAAAAATTAAACGACCTACAACACAACAACTAACGACTAAAATAACACAAAAAAGAAAAGGAGACGAGTGGAGTGAAAGAGAAAAGTGATTTCTTCTTATTGACCTTTAACCTTTAACCTTCAACCTTTAAATAATAATAATCATTCGACGACGACGACGACAACACAAAAGCATTTAACAAAAAAAAAAAAAAAAAAAAACAAGACTAGATCCGGACGCGAGTTTTTTTCCTTTCCAAAACAAACAAATAAATAATAATGATAATAATATTAATAATAATAATAATAATAATAATATAGATTTAAAAGTTATTATTATTATTATTATCATCATAGATTTTTTTTCCCGGTGATGTTAGAAATTTTTGTATTTGACTAGTCGTAAAATGAAACTCGTTCGACTATGACGACGACGACGACAAGGTGAAATCGTCGGCCATATTTTCCCCTCCCCCTTTTCTCCCCCTCATCATCATCATCATCAGTGTTATTATTATTATTATTCAGGGTGGTACGAAAGAGATTCCGGAAACGGGGAACCTGTTAACTTTTAAAATGGCAGTATCGATTCGGAAAAATAGAAAAAAAAAAACTGAAAGGCACACGGCGAAATTCTCCCTAACTACCCCAAAATAATAATAATAATAATGATGATGATAATGATAGTAAAGACGATGATGATGATACTAATGATTCGGCTCCCTCCGAAATTACTACGTAAAATTTTCTTTTAATTCCTCTTCGGTTTTCTTTCGAACCCGTCGGATTTCCACATGGGGGAGGAGGGAAGAGGGAAGAGTCGGATTCGTTTTTTTTTCTCTTTTTTTCCCCCTATCAAAATTGTATCCTGTACTTTCCACTCGACGGAGTTTCACGGGTTAACGACGACGAACCACGCCTCGTCGGAGACGGAGAAAGGAGCCTCACCTTGGACTGATCGGAGGACGTCGACATTCCCGTCGCGGAATCTCCGCTCGCGGCACTCGCCGCCGAATCCCTCGTCCCTCTCGTCGAGGGATTCGAATCCGAACTTATCCTTATCCCGTTTCCTTTTCCATCCCCGAACCGTCCGTAATCCCCGAGTTTTCTCGGATGCGGTAAAAATGATTTTTTCACCGTGTTCTTGGGAGAGGTTTCGACGGGCGGGGTTTTCCTGGTATCGCTAAACCTGTTGTACTCTAATTTGTTTTGACCGTCGAGAGTCGACGGAGTCGGGGTCGGTGACGGCGGCGGCGGCGGCGTTTTCCGCGAATCGCATAACCTCGCGTATTCGAATTGTCTCGGACTTTCCATCCCAGTATTTTTCCGCGAATCGTAACGTCCGAAATTGGACGCGTCCAAGGGCGAGGGAGTTTTTCTCGCGTCTCCGAAACGGAAATCCATCTTACCGGAATCCGCGGATCCTTTTCTCAATTCTCTGAATCTCGAATATTCCAATTTGGATTGATTCGTGGGTCTCGGTGGCGGTGTCGTCGTTTTCGTTATGTCTTCCGAACCGCTCGAATTCGTCGATGCTTTCCTCGCGGTTCCGGCTTCTCCATCGCTCAACCGTCCGTATTCGCCCAATTTACGGTCTCTCGATCGTCGGGGACGAGGAAGAGAACTCGGTGGTAAACTCCCCCCCCTTTCCGACGATTCAGGCATTCTCTGCCTCTGCGAACTTCTCCCCTGTTTCTCCAATAAAAGCATTTCCTCGGGTTTATCCTGTTGTTCCGAACGAACCAATCCGCCCAGAAATCCTCCCGCGGTTTCGAGCCCTACTACACCCGCCAATAATGGCTGGGATATTTTTCCTTTTCTCGGCGTAGTGCTTGGATTAGAGAATCCTGGAAAACAGCAAAGACCTCGCTGAAATAAAGAAGAAACAAAACAAGAGATTTGGGATGGATTCTTGAAGGAAACAAACAAGACGTCCATCGTCGCGCAAGACCCCCCACTCTAAACAAAAAAAAAAAAAAAACTCTTGGCGACTCGAATCGTCTTCATTTGTCAAAAAGTGAAAATCGGTTAATGCGGCACACAAAACAACATGAAAAAAAAAACGTTAAGTGGCACACATGGGTGGTGTTAGGGTGAGTTTTCAATCGGGAAAAGGTATAATAATAGTAATAGTAATAATGATAATAATAACAACAACAACAATAATCAATCGGCTGTTATGTCAATCATACTCTCTCTCTCTCAAAAACAAAATAATAATAATAATAAAAACAAATACCTGATACAAATCGTTGAAGTTTTTAAACTCAAAAAAAAAAAAAAAAAAAACCACCTGAAATTTATACTTAAAAACTACAACAACAACAAAACCTGATAAACCTGATACACATTTAGAGAAAAAAAAAAAAAACAATAATGATAATGATAATAAAAAAACCTCTTATTTTTTTTTTCTTTTTTCAATCAATCGTTATTAAATAATAAGTATTATTATTATTATTATTATTGTCGTTCGTAAATTCAAATTGATTGAAATAAGAGTGAATGAAAGAAAAAGAGAAAAAGGAAATACCTTGCTCAGGAGTTGAGAATCCAATTGCGAATCTAATTCTTTCAATTGATCGTCCAATGATTTTTTAGTATCGTCGAAACTTTGATTCCCTCCGAATTTCCCACGGTAACTCGCGTAACCGATTTTATTCGTGGAATCCCCGTGATAACTCAATTTGGATCCCGATTCCGTTCCGAAACTCAATTTCGATCCCGATGAATCCCCGCCGAAACTTAATTTCGACGATGAATCACCTCCGTGGTATCCGAGTTTACCGTTTGAATCGTTGCACGTTAACGATGACGTCGTCGTGTTGAAACTTTTTTGAAAAAAAAAAAAAAAAAATTTTTTTTTTTGTAATCGAAACTCTTGTTTGTGGTGGCCGGGTGGGAAGGAGAGGGTCTTCCCCTCTTTTCAATTACCTGGCACTTGTCGTCGGGTGATAGGTCGAGGGATGAAATAATTTACTCGCGGAATCGCTACATCCGGAATACGACGTGAATCCTGCACCCGATGTTAAAACGCTTGACACCGTTGAAAACACACCAGACGTAGGACCTGATGACATTTACATTCAATCATTATTTCATTCCATGACAAGAGAGATAATCATTACAACAAATTCGAAAGTACCTAATTCTTCTCTCGAAACGGAAGTACCCAATAGATCCGTGTTGAGACTTCCGTGAGGCGTGTGATGTGGAGATCGGCCCAAAGCAATACTCGGGTAAGACGCGGATACTTCTTTGTCGTAAGTGTGCTTTTGCAAAACTTTTATCATGGCATCCTTTTCCGCCAATTTAGATTCTAAATCTTTGACTCTAGCCTCTAAATCGGCTACCTTCTTTTGCGCCGCGTGTACTTCGTCCATGTGTCGTATTTTTTCAGATCTAGCCTCGGCAATTAATTTTTCCGTTTCTTGACTCGTTTTCTCTAAGGCGGCTATTTTAGCATCCCTGAGAGAGAGAGAGAGAGAGAGAGAGAGAAAAAAATTAACCACCCATATTAAACGCACACGAAAACCAAAGAAAAACTAATGAAAAGGAAAAAGTCCCTACTTTGGAAGACTAGCAGCATCGATGGCAGCTTGACGCAAAGCACTTTCTTCTAAATATCTTTGCTCCCATTTGGCAACTTCTCCTTCTAACCTCATTATTAACTCGTCCCTTTCTCTTAGTTTTCTTTTTAGTTCGGAATTTGATTCGCCGACACCTGCGGTTCCACTATTAGAACCACTCGCATTCGCGCCTACATACAGAAAAAAACAAACGAAAAATTTGTGAGACGAATGATTACATGGCGGCAACGTAAAATGATTTAATTTTTCGGGTTGGCAAACCTGTAGAATTATCCGTTCCCGCATTTTTCGCTCTTTCCGCTCTCAATTCACCTTCCAGTTGTAACCTTAATTTATGTTCCGTTTGTTCCCTTCGACTGCTCGCCTGTTGCTGAGTAGCCAATGCCGATTTTAATTGTGCCACTAGTTCAACGTACATTTGTTTTTTGCGACACTGAAACACCAATAATTAAATAAATAACCAAATCATCATCATCATCATCATCATCATCATCATTCCGTTGGGAGGAAGGAAAATAATTTTTTCAAACGCACCTCTTCTTCTAACCTGACTACATTTTCTTGAGCATTTGTTAGTGCCGTGTCTAAAATGTCGATGTGAGTTCTTTGCTCTTGAAGAGTCGCTCTCTGAGCAGCCAATTCAATTTCTTGCCTTTCTTTACTCGCGACTAATTCCTTATCTGCGACAATTGACAATTAATTAATAAATTTAGGTTCGGCCTAACGAAACCTAAAAACGAGGGATGAATGCAATTACTTTGAGTGATGAGTTGGGCGATTAATATATCTCTACTGTTCAATTCTCTCCTTAGTGCTTCCGGTGCATCTCCAGATGGTATTCTCGTGGATAGCAACTGAGATGATAAGACTTCAACTTGATCCCTTAGTGACCTGTTCGTTTCTTGCAATCGTCTGCAATCGTTTTGTAACCTATTCCTCGCTTCTCTTTCCAACCTTCCTCTCCTCTCCGAAGACTGAACCAATTCTTCCTGAGCCCTGTGAACTTTTGCGATTTCTTGTTCGAGCTAAAAATAATAATAATAATAATAATAATAATAATAGTATCAAAAGCAGAATGTTTGAGTAACTCCTTTTTTGGAATTCATTCAACATAATTAAACGCGCGAAAAATTATTTAACCTACTTTTTGCGTTTTGGCAACTTTTTGCATGTACGATTCGATTTCCGATTTAAGCCTACTATTCTCTTGTGCAAGACTATTGACCATTTCGGCCCAACGTTTTCCCCCCTCGCTGAATTCTTCTCTTCCTTTCGTTTTCGGTCTACCGACTCCGACTTTGGATAAATCCGGCTGAGATTTCGATAATTGATTCTTGTCTTTTTTACCATTCTTACACCTCTGCATTAGAATCGTGCTCGGAGAGCTATCGACGAATTTTCCACCCGGATATTCGGGTGGCGGATTTTCTCGTCTGGTTAACGAATGTCTTTTATGTTCGCTTATTGGATCCATGGCTTCTTCGACTAAAGACGATGGCGGAACCTTGACTTCTTTGGCTAAGTGCTTTAAAACCTTCAAAAAAAAAAAAGTACACCGATGACACGCTTGGCAAAATTTTAAAAATTTAAAAAAAAAAAAAACCTTTTTAATTTCTATTGTACCTGAGACTGATTCAGATAATCGTCGGGAATATCCGTGATGTCCCTAACTCCCGAATCGTAGAGCAATCTCCCGTTACCATCGTAACTGGTTCTGTCCTTCCCGCCGCAAAGGGAAGGAGAAGGAGAATTTGATCCTTTCTGTAGAACCAAAGGTTTATTGTTGGGATCGCTCTGTATGTGCGAGTGATGTGGAGAATTATTTTCCGATAAATTATTTCCGTCTCTAATACCCGACAATCTTCCTCCCCACGACTCGTCCGCATTGTGAATAATTAAAGTGTTATACGAACATGTCGACACATCCAGACTGCTACGATTCGAACCTAATTCACCTTGTTTTAAACTGCTCCGATTTGAACTTGGAGCCGTTAAATTTTCCTGACCCTGAGGCTCTTGACGTGCCGTGTGTCGAATCACGTATCTTTCTTCGTGACTTAAATTTTCATTCGATGTCGAGACGTCCGTTTCGCTCCCGCTAAAACTTAGATTTTGCGGAAAACCGTTCGGAGATTGTAAATGCGTTTGATGATTCCTATTATTTCCGTTCGTTTGATAATTAATGAATCGATTCGGTTGAAGTGCGCTCATTCTTTGGCTCATATATATTTATATAAATATCAAAAAACTAATAATATATATATATAGGTCGAAGAAGATGAATTTGAAACATTCGATCATCACATCCTAAAACAAAATAATAATAACAACTACGTTAATCAATGCAGTGTTGCACTTTTTTCTTTTTTCTGCTAAAAAAAAAAAAAATACAATAAAAAATTACTTTTTTTTTAAAAAAAAAATTCAAATTCAAATCCTTAATTAATTAATATTTTCCATAAACAATATTTTTAGCAATGTTATAATATTGTAACGGACTTATAATACAATAATTAATTTCGCAATCGGTATTACATAAAGAATTATTATTATCATTATTACTACCACTACTACCGTAATTGAATTTTTTTTCATTTTTCTTAAATACTTTTTTCAAACAAGACAAATAAACGGCGCAACATTTTTTCGGGGCATTTAAATTTTTATATTTAAAAATATCTTCAACGTCTGGTAATTCCAATATTTTTTTCGGTAATAATTTTTTCAATTTTTCATCCGTCACGTGTTGAAAAGGACAACCGCCGTCCATTTTGGATTGTACACTATCGATAAATTTCGAACACGAATGACTTGTTTTAATACAATTATTTTTTCCAATCAAACCGTACAAATGTTCTATTTGATATTTATACCTAGTAAAAAATTGAAATAATAATAATAATAATTTTTCTTATTCTTTTTAACGCAACGACAACAAACGACTCATAAACCGACCTATTTTTACTCGACTCCCACGTGTGAGTACAATTCGATTCCTTTGACGGTTTTTTATATTCTCCTTCCCAAAAAGATATGTTTTCAATAACGGGCACACCGATATCTTTTAAAAACAAAGTGTATTGATACCTAAAAATTCATTTTTTTTTATTTTTTATTTTTAAAACCAAAAACAATCAATCAATCAATCAATCAATCAATCAGTCGTACCTTGACTCGTATGACAACCTATGAGTTCGCCTTAATATTTGATGAAGATTTGACATGCAAGGAGGAAAAAATTGCGAATGTGAATCAATTTCATAGGCTTTAACAGGCTTTGTTGTTATTGTCGATGTTAAATTTTTATTTATTTTTCCATTAAGCAAAACATCAAATCTCCTTATAAGACTCCTTATTCTATCATCTTCACCATTGTAAATGACATTATCAATTTCATTACATTTTTCAATGAGTTTCATTTCGATTTGTAAATAATTCGAATAAATCATTTCGACAATTTTTTTCCAATGGTTACATGGCACAATCGCTTTCCCATTACATAATTCAACTTGTCTCTTCGATATTAAATTCAATGGAAAATAAAATGGTAGGATTATATTGAATTCTTCGCATTCTTCAACATGTTCATCGACAAATACATGCTCATAATTTTTTATTATCATATCGATTATGTCGACAATCAATCGCAATCTATTAAATTTTCTTTTACTTAATTTTGTTATTTCTTTACACTGATAATAATAATAATAATAACAAACAAACAAACAAACAAAATTAATTTTATTATGTCAAATCAAATTGTTTCATTAAAAAAAAAAAAAAAAAAAAGAGAAAAAGATACCTGAGATAAATAAATCAAATTTTTCTGCAAGTCAATAAATTCTTTTTCGATTTCGAAAGGTTTCGATAACATTTTTAATTTATCCATAAATATTTTCGTTTCTCCCCGTATGAATTCATGTGTGAAAATTGGATTTTTAATAGCAATGAAAGTCATTAATAATCGAATTGATTTATTATTACTAACGAGTGAAAATCTTTTCTCATCGTCGAATAAATTAAACATGGATGAATAATGATAATAATAATTGTAACATTGAAATTTATCATATAAAATTTCTTCTAATTTGTTTAATGTAATTGAAAAATTACACATTGTATTGATTACATAATTAATCATTATTTACTACCTTGTTAGATTACTATAACAGTTTTTTCCTATAATTAAAAATAAAAGACAAAAATCAAATCCTAATCGTTTAACAAATATGAAATGAAATGAAACAATTATCAATCAATTTTCAACATTAATACATATACAACATTTGATTATAGACAAATAATATGATGAATAATACATAATAAAACTCACTTGTGAGATATAATAAAACATTATTTCCGTTATTAAAAACCTTTTCGATATGAACATAAACCACATGAAAATTAAATTGTAAATAATTAATTAAACCGTTTTCGGCCATTTTCAAATCGACACGATATTTTTAATAATAATAATAATAATAATAATAATTCATGTAAAATTAACAGTTTAAAAATATCATTTGTAATCAATTTGTAAGGGGTAAATATATATTTACAACAAAACCGATTAAATAAATGGTAAAATTCGTTAAAAAGCAGAAAAATTTCAAATGATAAATTTATTACACGAATGAGTAATATTAATATACATACACATTTATTTATTTCTAGTTAATTCCAAATCTGTGTATTTACAAAATTATTATTATTATTATTATTATTATCATCTACGTAACGTAATAAATGTTTCATTATTAAAATAAAAAACTTACCGATAAATTGAGTGATGAAGAAGAGAAAAATTATAATTTTTTTTTTTGCATTCACACACACACACACTTTCATTCCATAGAAAAATTAAAGGAAAAAAACCCGCATATTTTCAGTTCGAGTTTCTTCCGTTACGATTCTCATAAGTTTAATATGAAATTCCATATAGATGTCGTTGTATGAAAAACAAGGGCACGTTCAAGAAAAAATTCTTTGAATTCTGAAAATTTTCGTCTCCTTCGTCGCCATATTTTATTTATAATAGGTAATTACATGAAAGAAAAAATATTTTTGAAATTTAGACATTATCGGTAAAATAACAAAAAAGGAAATTTACATTTTTTATTAATTTATTATTTATTTTTTTTTTTTTACCTTATGTTTTATATATCTTCCTCCCGATGAAAATAAACTAAAAAAAAAATAAATAAATAAATATTAATGATAATTTTTTTTTTTTTTTAACTTTATCAATAATGACATTCATTGGTTGATAATAATCAAATTATTAGTATTATTATTATTATTCTCATACGAATGTTATATTAGATAAAAAAAAAAAAAAAAAAATTTATATTGATTTTGTCGCGATATACAAAAATGATTGTTTCTAGATTTTTACCTTTATTAGTAACAACTGTCAACAGGTTGACAGTAGGTAATCAAGTCAGGAATCTTGTTAAAAGTGTTCATTTAAATAAAATACACACAGGTAATTAATTTTTACTTCATTTTTTTGTTTTTTTTTTCTCCTTTATTTTGTGATTATGTTTGTTTTCTCCAGGTAATATTTTACAATTTAATAAATCATCACAGATGGAAGTCGATATTGATAGTCAATTACAAGATCCCAATAGACATCATAGTTATGATGAACTTTTGGAAAAGAAAAAAGATAAAAATGTCGTTTTGGTTGATGTAAGAGATTATTCTGAAATAACTCAAACTGGTAAACTACCTGGAAGCATTCACATACCATGTAAGATAATAATAATTTGAAAAAAAAAAAACAAAATGAATGATAACAATTTTACTTACTTGTTTTTTTTTATTATTATCTTTTCAATCAACAAGTGGGAGAATTGAAAAAAGCACTTTCCGAAATGTCTCCAGAAAATTTTAAAAGTCGATATCAATTTGACAAACCGAGTAAAGACACTGAAATAATATTTTCTTGCAGAGGAGGAAGGAGAAGTGTTGAAGCACTTAAATTAGCATTGGAACTTGGTTATCACAGGTATGATATGTTGTCATTTGTTATGTTTTTTAATATAAATAATAATAATAATAATAATTTTTTAAAAATGTTTACTTTTGTTTCAGGTCGTCTAATTATAAAGGGGGCTGGTTAGATTGGGAAAAAAATACCAAAAAAAATGACAGTTGAATATTAGTCTGCTTTATTATGATTAGCAAGTTTGCTATTGACCATTTCTCTAAATTGACCGAGTATTCTATTTTCTCTTTTTTGTCTTTCCTCTTTACTGAACATGGCCAAAGCTCGTTTTTCATCTGCGGAATAAATTTGATTTTCTTTTCTAATACGAACAGCTTCCATTCTTCTATGTCTGTTAAAATAGAAAAATTAAAACATTTAAAATTATATATTTTTTTCTAAAAATATTTAAGTTTGGATATAATAAATGGGATTGAAAAAAAATTTTTTTTTGTTGAAATTAATAACAGACCTGCTACCGCTCATAACATAACCGACAGCTTCGAATGCGGCTATTTGATCTGATGTCAAACCGATTTCTCCTCTTCTTGGTATTCTTTTACCTTCAGCGACATAGGCTGCCATGGCAGCACCTTCTCCTGGTAAAAGAGCTTTACCATAATCTTTACTTGATAGTGCCACCTGAGCTTTTGGCACTGGTCCAATCATTCCATCTTCTTCATCACTATCATCGATTTCTTAAAAAAGAAAAAAAGGCAAAAATCAATTTTAAAATAAGATATAACGACATTATCGATAATTATAATCTTACTATCTTTTTCCACCCAAAGTTCTTGTACTTCATCATCATCTTCAGAAGAATTGTCGTCACAGCTGGAATTTTTTTTCTTCTTTTTTTTTTTTGATTTTTTCTTTTTTTTCATCATTTTCTTTAATATTTTTTTTAATTCCTTCTTACTTTTTTTCTCTTTTTTATCTTTCGACACCATATTCTTGTGAGTTTCTTTTTCCTTACTACTTTCATCAGCATCGGAACTAATTAATAAATAAATTATTAATTGGATAATAATGTTTCTCATAGCTTAAATAATAAAAGTTTTGGAGAAAAAAAAAAAATACTCACTCTGAAGCTCTTTCAGGAGATCTTCCCCAAACATGAGAAACACCTTTTAATGTTATTTCAGCCCTTATTTCTCTTCTTAATATCGCATTCGATCCATCATCTTTACCACCATATCTGTGATTTCTATTTTTTTCCCTTTGTAAATTATTTGAGAATTTATAATTTTCTCTTTTTCTAAAATTTTAATAATAGACATTTTAAATTAAAAAGTTATGTAAGTAAAATATGTTATTAATGCACGATATTTAAAAAAAAACTTACTCCGATTTAAATTCCGGAGATATATTCCTTAATTTTGATGCTCTTGAATCCCTATAATAATTTCCATCATATTTTGGTCTCTCTTTATAATTATCTTTTTCCCTGTGTTGTAAATATCTATCTCTGCTTTTACTCCTGTTTCTATAATGTCCACCGATTCTATCTTTGCTCCTGCTCCTGCTTCTACTTTTACTTTTATTTCTACTTACAGGTGATCTATGTCTATTTCTGTATCTGGTATCGTCTCTGTATCTTTCCCTATTTCTGTCTTTGTTTTTATATCTATCTCTGTCTTCATCTCTGTCTCTGTATCTATTTTTATTTCTCTCTCTATCTCTGTATTTGTCTCTTTCATTAACTCTGTTTCTACTCCTGCTCCTACTCCTGCTCCTACTCTTGCTCCTACTCTTGCTTTTACTCTTGCTTCTACTCTTACTATTACTCCTACTTCTGCTTTTGCTTTCACTACTACTACTACTACTGCTGCTGCTGCTGCTACTGCTGCTACTTTGTTTGTCATATAAATTATCTCGTTTATTAGACCTAAAACAGGTAACGTAAAATGAGAAAAATATTCATTAAAAAAAAAAAACTGAAAAATAATTCTTACTAACATTATTAAATAAATGAAAATTTAATTATAGTTTTACAAACGATTTTAACTTTAATAAAAATTAATTAATAAAGCAAGTTGATCACTGCAGGTTTATTTACATCACTTGAAAAATAAATTTATTGATCGTGGCAGTAGAAACGTTGCAGTTACGTTATTTTTATGAAACTCGAACGACATTTATTATAACTGAAAATATTTATGTAAAGAAAACTTTTTTTTTTTAAATAAAAATAATTTTTTTTAAATGTGGAATCATGAGTTGGACTCCTTTGGCAATCGAATATGATCCTTTAGCTGTTGGTAGTATCGATGGAACGGATACAGAGCCTCACGACATGGGAGTAGTTCGGGCTATTAACAGGTAAGGAAACATAGTAAATAATGTGTCAAAATTTGCAATTATTTGACTTGCTTTTTTTTTTTTTATGCAGCGAATATTATTCGGATACGTCATTATCAAGCAAACCGGAATGTACGGTATTTGTGGGTCGATTACATCCCAAAGTAACAGAAGATGATTTGAAAATTGTATTTAAAGAATATGGAAGAATAAAAAAATGTAATGTTATAAAAGATATTGTTACAGGAGGTTCGAAACAATATGCTTTTATTGAGTATGAAAAAGAATCCCAAGCAGACAGAGCATACAGGTAGAAAATGATGATGTTATGTTTATAAAGAGAAATCGAATTGAATAAATATGTTTTAATAAGGTTTACATCATTTTTAAATTATATTTTAGAAGAGGACATAAAGCATTAATTAGAGGTTTGGAAATAATTGTTGATCGAGAATTTGGTCGCACGATGAAAAATTGGAAACCAAGAAGACTTGGAGGTGGTTTTGGTGGTAGAAAAGAATCTGGACAATTAAGATTCGGATGTAGGGATAGACCATGGAGACCACCGATTCTACCAGAGAAAGACAAAGAAAAATCTAGAAATAAGTGATGAATAAATGACTGAAAGTTACCAAATATAGCAAATGATGAATTTGCCAATTTCATACTAATTTTTTGTAATAAAAACTTTTTAAAAAAATAATAAAATTATAACTATTTATCATTGCTTGAATATTGTTACTAAATGAAAATTTTTCCTCTCCTATTCTTTAATTTAGAGAAAATTGTTTTAAAAAAAAAAAACTTGTTAACTGTCAATCATTTATAAATATTACTTAGATATTCTAAAAAAAAAAATGTTTTTAATTATATAACAACTTGAATGATCCGGTTATTGAATAAGGAAAAAAAAAAAAAAATTTTTTTTTTATCATACTAACCAGTCGGCGGCAGGCAATATAACAAATTAAAAAGCTTAAATAAATGAAAAAAAAAAAAAAAAAAAAGAATTCTACATAAAATTTCGCATTAAAATATTTTCTTTTTTTTTATATATATATAAATATTATCAGTAAATTAATCAGCCTCGAGGCTAAAACCACTCCTTAATTAAATTTTAAACAAATTAATTTTTCGTGCAAAATTTTATCATCGAATTTATCAATTTTTTTTTTTCTTTTTTTTAAATTAAAACTTTAAAAAATATTTTTTTCCACTCCTCCCCCCCCCTCGTTTTTTTTATAACAAAAACAATTTTTCAATTTAATTTAACTACACAAATTATAAAACAAATCAAACATTTTTCACTACTTGTCAAATCCGTCCGCCATTTTCGAATAAAACCGTTACGACTCTTTCTTACCCTACTCACTCCCCTTTACAAATTAATACCGGAAACGGAAACCTTTTTAAAAGAAAACAAATCGACACGTTGCCTGCCTGCCTCCCTTCCCCCTTTTTTTTTTTAAAAAGGCCTTTTTTCCGTTAGAATTCAAACGACAAAAAATTTAATAAATATGCTTTTCATTTTAATAATTACTTTTTATTAAATTATTATTATTTAAAATATATATTTTATATTATTATTATTATTATTACTTTTTAAATTAATAAATTTACATATCATATATATATATATTTATCGCAAAAGAAACAAAATAATAATAAAAATAAAAATTTAAAAATAAAACTTATTTATTTTAACATAAAATAAAAATAAATCATTGATTTTTTCTTAAATTACAATTTCATATATATATATATATTTAAATTTTTTAAAGCATGTTCATATATATATATATATATTATTTTCACGTTGTTATTATTATTATCATTACTCATTTGTAAAGTCGTTTCTTATTAATAAATTAAAAATTCGAAACATATATATGTATAAAATAATAATAATAATATTAATTTTTTTTTTATTAATGTATTTACTTACACATAAACTAACTCACATATTTCTTTATTCACATCATAATACAATTAATTAATAAAGTTTTTATTTATTTATTTATTTATTTACTTATTGATTTTATTTATTTTCGTATTATTATTATTTTATACATAAGAGCAAAACGAATAGAAAATATATATATATATATATATATAAAAAAATCATAATAATATATATTTAATATTTACGACGGTAATAATTGATCGTTATGATGATGATGATGATAGAAAGAAGAATAAGAAGATGATGATGATGATTATGATTATGATAGTAATAATAATAATAATAATTTTTGTTTTTCTTTTTCGTTTTCGGTTATTAAAATTTAAATAAAAAATAATAATAATAATTTTAGCGTAGTAAAAACGTGTTTGTACGTAATAATAATAATAATAATAATAATCGTATCGATTTCGTTAAGTGGAAATTTTTTTTTGTTGAGAAAAAGGCACGTTAAAGAAGGCGGCTGTAGTACAATAAAATATATTTAAAAAAAAAAAAAATTATTTTTGATCGAAAAAAAAAAAAAAAATGGCAAAAATGTTGTATATAAAAGGAATAAAAATTATTGTTTTACCTCTCTTTCTCTCTTTATCCCTCTTTCTTTTTCTATCCCTCTCTTTCTCTCTCTGTCTATCCTTCAACTTTTCCGACGGCACTACTATTACTATCATTATTATTATTATTAAAATATTTAAAAATAATTTATTATAATAAATACACTTCCTTTATATTCGTTCTTAATCGTACTATTTCGTTTAACTTCGTTCTCTTTCGTCGTCGTCGTCGTCGTCGCCATACATACAATATTTTATTTATTGTTTACTAACCGAAAAATCTACTATGCATCCTTGTTTATCATACGTATAATATTCTCTCTCTCTCACACTCGTTCGTTTCTCATTACAAATTTTTTTTTTTTTTTTTTAATATATTAAAATTCAAACGATCGATCACCGAAATAAAAAAAAAAAAAAAATTATTATTTTTAGTAATAATAATAATAATAATGATGCTAATGTTACACATAATGATGATGATGATGATGATGATAAAACGAATGACATTTTATAATATATATATATATATATATATATATATATATATATATATATATATATATATATATATATATATATATAAAATAAAAAATATATTTTCGTACGCGTGCGCGCACTCGCACACACGCACACTTACACATTTACAAACACGAGGAAAAAAATTATTATTATTATTATTATTATTATTATTCATTTTCTTTTGTTTTGTAAATACAAATGACACAGCCGTTACATTTTTTCCCTATTGCATTTATATATATATATTTCGCGTGTTTAAAACAAACACACGCACACACACACACACACACGCATGCGTAAATGTGGAGAAACGCATATTCGCACGCATATAACACACGTGCGATATTTAATATTTATTATTTTTGACATATTATTAATAAAATCAATTATTTTACACTATTACTACGACACTATTCACAATTGTCCACATTTCTCTTCTCTTTTTTTTTTTGGTTTATTTCGTTAATAAAAAAAAAAATTATTTATATAAAATCATTAACGATAATAATAATAATAATAATAATAATAGATAAAAATGATAATGATAATAAAATGATTTTTTTTTTTTTTAATTACATAAAAACACAAATTAAAAAAAAAATATATATATATATATATATATATATATATATACGTATTAATTTTAACATTGAGCGGAAACCGGGTAAATGTATATATGTATGCATATATGTATATATATATAATAATAATAATAATAATAATAATAATAATTTTTTTTTTAACGATTTTTTGTTCGATTTTTTTGTTTTTTTTTTTCCATTTTTGATTTTTTTTTTTTTTGTTTTCTCGTCATATCGTCTCGTATTCTTTTCGTCGTCGTTAACAATTTAAAAAATAAAAAATAAAAAAAAAAAAACAAAACATTTCCCACGTTTTTTTTTTTTTGCTATTCCCACGTCGTCACCTTTTCTCCGAATCGTTCCTTTCCTTTCCTTCCTTTCTATTTCCACGTCGTTATTCTACTACTACTACGCGGGGGGGGGGAGTTCGCAGCATCCCACGTTGAGGACACACACACGCACACACTTTTCACGTGACGTGGAATCGAATGGCGTGGGGGGAGGCGGAAGGGGAGAGGTGGAGGAAGGGAATTGAAAAAATAAAAATAAAAAATTGAAAGAAATTTACGACGTGATGCGACGTCACTTGGGATGACGGAAATATCTGAGAACGATGTAACCTAAAAATCGAAATAGTAATAAAAACAATAGCAAAACCAGTGAATTCGCCCAAAGAGGAAGACTAGCCCCCTGTGCTTCCAATATTGCTTCCACTGGAATGTAATTTGTCGTGTTGCATATTTCGAATTTCGATTGAGCTGCACACCTGGAAACACAAAAACAAAAAAATGTAAAAACAAAAAAATTTTTTTCCCGGCCCCCCCCTCAGGGAAGACATCTACCGGTTGAATTTATAACTAAAAAAAAAAAAAAAAAACGTGAAAAACTAACTGAATTTTAGCTCCGTCTCCGAATTCGACCATTTGCATGTTTTGATACGCGTAATGAACCATGCTCAGATACTGCATCCATTTTAACCATACGGGGATATTTGTCGCCAAATATCCGCCGAATAATTGTGTCGCAAGAGTGTACAAGGCACTGATGGTTATTGAAACTTGCATGTCCATACAGCAAGCTCCGACGAAAAACCCGACACTCTGAAAATTTTTTTTTTTTTTTTTAGTTAATTTCTATCAATTTTATTATGGAGTCGACGGAAAATTGAAAATTTTACCTGCGCTACGACGGTGTTCAATAGTAAAAATGCTAATAAAGTAAGAAAAACCGTCGGACTGTGAAAACCCAGCATCGGATATGATATGAGATGGTAAACGGCTGGTAATGTAACCGTTAGTGGTAATTCTCCTAACATTTTGGCAAGGTAATAAGCCGAAAGACGATACGATCCCGATTGCCTTTCTTTGTTAATAACTTCTCTTTCTGGAGGGACTAAATGACACGAAAAATTAATCATCATCTCCATCGCCATCTTGGATTAAATTAAAAAAAAAAAAAAAATCTTACATGAAGAGAGAGCGCCAAAATGCGCAAACAACATCCAATAAGTCGTTGAAAAAAACATCCAACCCTGAATATCGTGAAGTGATTCTTCTTTTCTTTCAAGTTGAAACCACAAAAGACCCGCCATTGCTCCGAGTGCTATAGTTTGAACCCAATTAAGTTTCGACAACATTCTCGGTCTTGCCTCTTGAAAATTTCTCTCCGATAAAACTCGGAGTTGCGTCCAAAAACTCGTAGGCCATTGCCAGCTAAGATCATCGTCGGAACTGCTCGTTGACGAGGAACCGTGACTTTGGTTATCCATCCATAATTTACCCTCTTCACCTTTAACTTCGCGAACGGTACACAAAAATTTTATTATTTTTCATTTGGGAAAAAAACTCTTCGAGAGTTGCCCTCTCTCTCTCTCTCTCTCTCTCTCTCTCTATATCATCGTAATAATAATAATTACCTATTGTTGCGAAAACGTTTGTTTGCGGTGATGGATCGACAACGACGCACATTTCGACAGATCTACTGTTAATATAATGTACAGGGACGGGAACAGAATGAGACGTCTGCGTCGGTGACCAAACATCACGATGGCAGTGACAAGCGTTAGCTCCTACGTGTCCTATTAAAAAAAAAAACGATTATATTGTGACCAGTTTAGGTTAATTTTTTTTGTCTTTTTTTTTTTTTTTATAGAAAAAATTCTCACCTTTGTTTTGTACGTGATTCGATTGATAATTATTCAAATATCTATCACAGGCATTCACTGAAGTAAAATTGTCTGGCAGTAGTTCTTGAGGATAATCCGAACCTTTCCTCGATTCTTTAGCAGCGGCAATTATTTTCTCTTTCATTTCCTCTGAACCTTTTACTTGTTCCACTGCATACCGGAAACGGAAACAAAAAAATAAATAACAGTCGATGTCGTTTGTTTATGTGCACAAGATATTAACATGTACTCACGTATAAAATCGGCAGGATTATAATGTGGCATTACGGGCAGTCCAATATTGTTGAAAAAATCAACAACTTTATTTACTGGTCCAAAGTATGCAGTCTGGAAAAAATTAATAATAATAATAATAATATTAATTTTTAAAAAAAATCAAATTCATTTCGTTTGCTCTCCCCCCCCCCTCTCTCTCTCTCTCTCTCTCACCTGTCCATTGCAAAGCAATAGTAATTTATCAAACATGTGAAATATTTGTGACGAGGGTTGATGAACCGTAACGACGACAGTTTTCCCTTCCGTTTCCGCATACTCTTTCAAACACAGCATCAAACTAAATGCTGAATGAGAATCAAGACCGGAAGTTGGTTCCTGATTTAAAGAAGGAGAAGAAGAAAAAAAAATGATTAAAAAATTTTTCCTTTTGCGTTCTCGTCTGTTCAGTCAATCCAACAACAGCACACTTACGTCCAACAGCATTAATGAGGGATTTGTTAATAATTCGCAGGCAATATTTGCTCTCTTTTTTTCACCTCCCGATAAACCTCGTTTTAAGTAGTCTCCAATTACTAAAACAACAATAACAAAAACAATAATAATAATGATAATAATAATAATTTTTTCTTTTATTTCCATCACTTACTTGTATCTTGACAACTTCCTAAATCCAATACATTTATTATGTGGTCAACGTACTGCATTTTTTGGGAATATGAAAAAACATCTGGTAACCGAAGACGCGCTGCATACTATAAATAAATAAATAAAATCTGTTGGTAATTAAAAAAAAAATGGCGGATCCTGCAAGAGCAGCAACAGAAGCAACAGCAGCAATCTTTGTCAAGTTCGATAAACAATATTATTATTATTAAAAAAAAAAAAAGAAATTTATTTATTTTTTGTAAATGTCAAACGGATAAAAAGAGATAGGAGAAAGAGAGAGAGAGAGAGAGAGAGAGAGAGAGAGAGGGGGGAGTAAAAGGGCAACAAAAGTAACCTTGAGTAAAAGGATCAAAGGCAATTGAACCATCGTCATGTTAATCAATACAAATCAGTTCTTGTCAGTTTTCCCTCTAACTAACGATATCATCAATGACAATGGGTAACCTTATTGTAAATTAATGTGGTAACGAAAATCTTCATGATGAACTGTCATATTCACGCTGTTGCACACACACAACAAACAAACAAACAACAAACAACAAACTGTTGAGGGCGGTCAACTTTTTAAAAAATTTTCATTCAAATAATATCAAACTTTAATCAATTATAACTAATATGAATGTTAGCAATAATAAAATATTTTTTTTTTTTTTTTTTATCAAGGTCTCCTCCTAAACATTGAAAACATTCCATGAAACAAATAATAATAATAATAATAATAATAATAATAATAATAATAATAATAATAATAATAATAATAGAGTTAATGATAATTTGTGACAAATTTTTTATATATTTTTGCTGTCGTTCGAAACGACGCTCCACAGGAGGACATCGTTTTTCTTATTTTCGTTCAATTTTTGATTTAATGGCCACGAGTATAAATTGATGTTGTTAAAAGAAAATTTGTTATTTTTTTTTTTTTTACTAACGACATTTTCTTTTTCTCTCTTTCTCTCTCTCTCTTTCTTTTCCTTCGGTTCTTTCGTGAACTAATAAATAAAAAAAAAAAAACTTACTTCTAACGTTTGCCTAAGTGTGAGATCTGGAAAGAATATATCTTGCTGTAATACGTAGCAAATCCTTCTTTTCCATTTTTTACTTAATTTATCCCTATTTAAACGTATGCTCCCTGAGTCCAATTTCACTCTTCCCGATAAACAATTTAATAATGTTGTTTTTCCACACCCTGAAAAAAAAAACAAAAAATTTGTTAAATTCGCCAGAGAGAGAGAGAGACAGATGGTGATGGTGGTGAAAATGAGAAGAATATGAAAGAAAACAAACAGAATTTTTTTTTTTTTATTAAAGTTCTGCATTATTATTATTATTATTATAGAAAAATACAACCACGAACGAAACACAAAATGTAATATTTTCTCACAAACAAAGTAACATAATTCTCATTTGCAGATGAAACATAAAAAAAAAAAAAATATAACGTTACAATATGAAAAGGAAACTGGTAAAAGAGAGAGAGAGAGAGAGAGAGAGAGGGTGTGTGTGTGTGAGTGGAAAAGAAGAGTATTGCTTTTTATTTTATTTTGAATTCTCATCGCAATGCGAAACATTCGTGAACAACAACAACAACAAAAAAGAATTCATTTAAAAAAAATTAATACGTTTTACAAATGGAGCGCGGAAAAAAACGGTTAAAACGTGAGTTTAAAAATTTCTCGGAATAAAAAATTTTCAAACGTGGGTCGTTTACGAGTGGTACAGGTACACGCACGCACCGATACCAGGAGAAAAGAAGAAGAAGAAGAAGAAAATAAATAAATAATAATGTAATACCTGAAGGTCCCATGACCGCAAGAAGTTCACCAGGTCGTACGACGCCGCTAACATCTCTTAATATCGGCCTTTTGTTAACGGTTACCGATAGCCCACTGAAGACCAGCTCCACGGGTTTGTGGGGTAGATGTTGATGTTCCACGAGGCAAGGAAAATGAGCCGACGTACCATTTTCAACTCTGTAATTAAAAATTTTAACAAAAAAAAAATTACAAAAGAGTTGCCAACTTAATTAAACACGTCGATCGAAACGTCGTGGAATAAGAAAATGAGAGAGAGAGAGAGAGAGAGAGGAAAGGGAAGGGGTGTGTGGGGGAGGGGAAAACACAGAATAAAATAATTACAAACAAACGAAAAATAATAAAAATAATAATAATAAGTTTAAAACCTACGTTTTCATGCCTTTTTTATAATTAAGCGTAGCGAGTACATCAGGTTGTACGAACGGTGACATTATATTAAATCTTATATGACACGAACAAATCTTCATTCCGAGAATATGAATGACGTTTCTAGGAAATACAAGAAAAAGAAAAAGAAAGAAAGAAAGAAAGAAAGCAGAAGAGAAAAAAAAAAAAACTCGGTGAAACGTCGTAATGAAATATCCCGGATGAAGAAAAAAATGAAAAAAAAAAAATTAGGATCAAATATCGAGGTGAACGTTTCATTTATAGTTTCGCACACATTTCCATGAGCGAAACGACAAAAAAAAAAACAAAAAAAAAAAAAACAAAATGGAGAACGACGACGACGACGTGCAAATAATCCGACGGAATTATTATTTTTTTTTTTCACCTTAAATATTATTTATTAATTGTCACAAATATGAAATTTCGTCGTCGAATTACGTTTAAAAAAAAATAAAAATCATCGTTTTTTCTCTCTCTCTCTCTCTTTCTCTCCTTCTTTCTCCTTACCACCGCCGCCATTTTTATTTTTCGTAAAATTTTTCCATGTGAAAACCGTTAAATTAAAATGGCGACGAAGTGGAAGAAGAATAAGACGACAAATTTCCCCGACGAAGGGGGAAAAAAAGATGGCGGTGAAAAGGGGATGAGAGGGTCGAGCTAAGCAGGCATCATATAGAGAAGGAGAGGGAGAGAGGGAAGAGGGGAAAGAGAGAGGGAAGAGGGGAAAGAGAGAGAGAGAGAGAACGAACCAAAATATATTTTTTATTTTTTTTTAAACAAACGAGCGAATAATTCAATAACGATTATTTGTCGTTTGTTTGTCGAGAGAGAGAGAGAGTTTGTAGGTCAATGGGTAGTTTTTTTTTTTTTTTATTGACTTTAACATTTACTTATATATATTTACAACATCTCCGACATGTTTTTTTTTTTTTTTTTAAATAAATAAATATCACACGTGATTTACGATAAAAATTTTCGAAAACGAATTTTAAAAAACAGCAGCAACAACAACAACAACAACAACAACAACAAACGATCACATAATAAAAAATTAAAGTTTTAAAAAAAATCCGTCAATTTATAATAAAATATCGATAATTATTGATATTATTATTAATAATAATAATAATCATCTTCGTCAACTAATAAAAAAACGATCACAACAATAACAAACAACCAAACAAACAAAAAAAAAACCCCGACGACATTTTAACGAAAAACGATTTTTTCAAAAATGGCCATTTCATGATTCTCCGTTCGTTTTAAAATAAAGAAAAATTTTTAATTTATTTTTTCTAAAAAGAGAAAAAAGAAAAGAATAAAGATAAAGTCATGTCGAAACAAGAAAAGACAAACGACAAACGACAAAACAAACAAATATATATACGATTTTAATTTTTGTTTTTTTCTCTCTCTCTCTCTCTCTCATTCTCTCTTTGTTTCTGTTTTACGCTTGTTTTTCTATTTGATTAACACGTTTAACGTTTAAAAACCGGAAAAAGTTCGTTATTTTAAAAAAAAATAATCCCGCCAAAATTTTTCATTTCAAAAAAAAAAAAAAACTAATTATAATAATAATAATAATAATTAGGGGAAACCGTATAACGTTCATAAAATTATTTTAATTAAAATTTTTTAATGAGATGATGATGACGTCGTCGTCGGAGTCGGCGGTGACTGTGGCGATGGCGGTGGTGGTGATGATGATGATGATGATGATGATGATGATGATGATGCGAAATTTAATAATATTGCAAAAAAAAGAAATTTGAGTTTCGAAAGTCTGGGGGGAATAAGAACGAATTAATATAGGACGAGGCAATTTTTTTTTTTCTTTTCGGTTTATGTAATTCATTTTTTAATTTTTGATAAATAAAAAAAAAAAAATTTGGTTTTTGCCACGTTTTTTTTTTTTTTTTTTATATATACACGATGATTTCGTGTCAGAATATAAATAAATATATTTTGTTTTTTTTTAATGGAGAATGACTATTAAAAAAAAAAAAAATCAGGTTTTTCACATGATTTCCGGTTGACCGAAATAAATATAAACAATTTTTTTTTTCTAGTGACACTTTTTTTTTTTGCTCCGTCATTCACGAGAAATAAAAAAAAACCGCTTTTTAATTTTAAATTTAATAAATAATAATAATAATAATAGTAATAAAACTCGCATTTGAAACAAAGTGTAAAAAAAAAATTTATCGATTTAAAAAACAAAATGGCGGATTAAAAAATTAAAACGAAATAAATAAACAAACGAACAGAATTTTTTTTTTTTTTTTCTTTAAATCGTTAAACAAATTTAAATTAATTATTTTGTTTGTTTGTTTGTCGAAAGTCAAAGAGTTTAACGTTTGTTTAATTAAAACTTTTTAAATCACCGACAGCGATAAGATTTTCAAAACCGACAGAGAGAGAGAAAAAAAAATCTACACCTCTCCTGTTTTTTTTTTTTTTTCTATCTCCCTTTTCCCGCCATTTTTTAAAAAGGCAACAAATCGAAAGCAACCGATCGACAAAAGGTAATGATAGAAAAACGAATGAGTTTCAATTAAAAATAAAAATAATAATGATAACGACAATAGTATTAAAATGGCTGTTAGTCGTACCGGAAATAGTATTAAAATGGCGCGAAAACGAAAAGGTAGACAAATTATTTAAACGTAAATTACGAGAGAGAGAGAGAGAGAGAGAGAAATAGAGAGTGAGAGTGAAAGAGAGAAAAAAAGAGAAAAAGGGAGAGAGAGAGAGAGGGGAGGAAAAATATTACCCAATGACGTCATTAAGAAAAATTCGAACGAAAAGAATATATGACCCAACAGCAGAAGGAGCAAAAGGAGGACAGTAGATAAACAAAAAGCGAAAGCGATCGAGCAGACGACAAAAATTTAAAAATTGCATCTTGGGAAAAAAAAAGATGTCGTCGTTGTGTATTTTGTGTGGTTCGTCGACCTGAAAACATGTAAAATCGTTTTTTTTTTTTTTTTTACTTTAAAAGCTCATCCATTGTTTTCTTTTTTTTCAAGGACATTAAAGGTCGGTCAAATTTTCTTTTTTTTGCTCGCACGTTCATATCAGGTTTCACTTTTCATTCGACGAATTTAATTTTAAAAAAAAAAAAAAAAATTACAAAACCCCAAAAATTATTTACGATGATAACAAATAATAAATGAGAGTGAAATGAGAAAAAGAAAACAAAAAAGGAAGAAACGGAAACGATTCCATAGAGTAATTTATAATTTTCGCAAAAACGATTATTTATTTATTTATTCTATTTTCTTTTTTTTTTCTTTTTCCCTAGAAAATAAACATGCCGAATAAAAAAAGAAAAAATAATGAAAATTGCATTTAAACAAAAAAAATTTCAAGGTGTTTTTTTCTGAGTTTGTTTTTTCGTTTGTTTGTTTGTTTGTTTTTATGATTTTGCAAAAAAAAACAAAAAAATGCATGTTTGTTTTTAAAAAAAACAGAAAAAATGCAAAAGAAAATAATAAATTTACTCGCGAACGAGAAAAAAATTAAAAAAAAAAAATTTTTTTTTTCGGTTTCATTAACATTCTGTCGTTTCGTTAATTAATTTTTTTTTTTTTTTTAATATGACAAACAAAAGAAAACAAACAAACAAACAAAAACAGGTGGAAAAAAATAAAGCTTCGAGGAAAAGAGAAAGAGAAAGTGTGAAAAGAGACGACGACGACGACGATTTTTCATCGCAACGAATTTAAAAAAAAATTTGAAAAAATCCCTTTGATAATAATAATAATAGTAATACTACGTCACACTGGAAAATTCTGGAAATATAATTCAAACGGGAAAATTTGAAAAAAACTAAAAGAAACCCCCGTGACGTCACCTGTTGATTTAATCGTTCAAATTACTTATCGATTAACGAAAGCCGTGGAACAAGACAATGAAATGAGTGATAATAATTAATTTTTTTTTCCTTTTTTTCCTTTTTCCTTTTTTCAAAAAAAAAAATTCAAAGGAAACCTTCAAAATTAATTTATTATATAAGTGAGAAAAAAAAAATTTCATTGTTGTTGTTTTTTTTAAATTAGTTTCTTTTTTCCATTTTTTTTTTTTTTGCAAAATAAATTTAATTACGACGACAACAACAACAACAACAACAAACGAATCGTAAGATAAATATATGTATATAAATATATTAACTCACACATTAACAGCGAGAAAAAAAGAAAAAAAAATTAAAACACGTTCAAAAAAATTTTTTTTTATTTAAACAAACAAACAATAAAGAAATTGTTTAAACCGACCTTGAATGTGTTTAAAAAAGAAAAACTCTGTGGCAACGTCCTCGAACCCGATATTGACTTTCCAAAGGTTTACTTACTCTATGGTTTCCTTTTTTTTTTTTTAAAAAAAAAAAAAGATTAAAAAATATAAATCTATCGTTTATTATTTATACTTGTATAAACCATTGCATTATTATTACTTTGTTTATTAATGATTCTTTTGCCACGTTCATTTGAGTTGGAGAGGGAGAGGGGAGGAGAGGAGGGGAAGGAGGGGAAGGGGAGATTTACCTTAACAAATATCGAAAACAAATATTAATAATAATAATTCGTTTAATTTATTATCACCATCACCATCATCATCATCATCATCATCATTATTTTCTTGTGATAAGATAATAAAAAACGAAAGGGAATAATAATAATAATAATAATAATAATAATAATAATAATAATAATAATAATAATGATAATAATGATAATAATAATTCCGAAACCGACGTGACGGTGTAAAAAAAAAAAAATAAAAGTAAATAAGACGTTAGAATTTTTTTTCTTCCATTATTTACAAAGTCGAATTGTTTATACATCTCCTCATTTTTTTATTATTGAAAAGTTACAAAAAAAATTTTTTTTTTTTTTCCTATCCACTTAACGTCGTCAAGTTTTTGTCGTCGACCTTTCGAGAAAAAAAAAAAAAAATTTAATGTGTTATGATTTTCGCCTTGTTACGTAACGTAAACAAAATAAATAATAATAATAATAATAATAATAATAATAATAATAAT